AAATCATGAAGAGTTAAGACTTGGGTTAGGAATGGGTAAGAGACTTTCTACTAAGAGGTGCCTTATAGTCATTTTATGTAGGAAAGACATGGAACAATTACAGAAAAATAAGAGTGTAAAGTCAAGTACAAATGTATAACAAAGATGATGACAGTAAACAGTGTATTTTTGTGACTCTTGGTGGTTTGAACTTCTTTTCTTGGTTTTCTGAGTAATTTGAGTTTCTCCATTCCACAAGGTAGATACACCATTTTATTGTAACTGAATTTATTTCAACCTCTGATGCTGGGTTAGAGTTAGGCTGTTCTCAGTCTGCTAACGTCATTACCAAACAATTTTACCTTTTTCACGCAGAATGCTGATCTTCCAGCAAAAGAGGAATCTACGTCTTCAGTACTTCTCCATCTGAGTGCAGAAACTCAGCTTCTTCTAAAGGAGATACTATCTGTGAAACAGATGCAAAAGAAATGTGAAGCACTAGAGGAGGAGAAGAAGAAGTTGGAGGAAGAAGCAGTAAGCCTCAGACATCACCTCGAAGTGAATACAGTGGGACACAGTCAAGTGGAGCAGGACAAACGGGAGACTGAAGAACAAGCAAGACGGGATGTAGTAAAAACAGTGAAAAAATTGAGGCGAGCTATACAGTACAGACGGGAAACTGAAGAGCAAGGAAGACAGGCTGTATTAGAAAAACTGAAAGAAATCAGCCAGTTTCTCCAGGTGAGACACTGATCTGTAACGTGCTCTAACTCACCTCGCTGAGAATTACAGTTCGGATGTGTACATTTTACGTGTTTCCTCTACTTCCCATATAGCAGTTTGGTTTGTAGGTTTCTGGAAGGAAGGCCGCATTGGATAGTCCCTTTAAATAATTCAGTTTCCATCATCACTATCACTAAATTGATCTTTCAGAACAATTCTCAGTAGAGAATCATTTTTAAGACCAATTGGTGTAAATCAAGACTACTAGGAGGAAAAGAATATATTGTGATGTAAATGCTGTGCCACACTCTGTACTCTTAGGTTGTATTGTTCAATTTTTAAAATTTAAGTTGATCCTATTATTCTTCGAACTATCACATTC